TTGTTTCTTAGAGTATGGCCAATCCATCTCCATTTCTTCCTGTTTATTTATTGTACAATCGGTTCCTGGTTGGTTCGCTCCCAGAGATCCCTCTCTGTTGCTGATCTTTTCTGGCCATCTGATCTTGAGTATTGAGCGAAGATAGCTGTTAATGAAGGTCTGCAGTTTATTTGAGGTGCTCTTCATGACACGCTAAGTCTCTGATCCATAAAGTAGCACTGACTTCACTCACACTGGAGTTGAAAATCCGGATCTTATTTTTGATGCTGATTAGTGCTGTTGACCTCCACACAGACTTGAGAGTAGTGAAAGCTTGTCTTGCTTTTCCGATTCTTGCTTTGATATCCTCGTCAGTTCCGTGTGCCTGTAGTTGAAACGATGCTTCCCGTGTAGGTAAAAGAGGTTGTTTCTTTCAGGTTCCTTCCATTTATGCTGATTGTTGTCTGTTGTTGTTGTTACTGTTGGTGGTGTTGCCCAGGAATCTTCATCACCTCTGTTTTCTCTATGTTCACCTGAAGTCCTTGCTATCTTTGATGCTTCTTCTGCCAACTTGTTGCTTTTCGCTTGCATATTGACAATTAGTCAACCACTAATATTCAGTGTGTGCGTGCGTTTACCGTATGACAGACAAGCTGGAGGCTTGAAGTTTCGCTAACAGTGGTGTTTATTTTCACCGGATGGGTTGCTCATGCCCAACCTCCCCACTTTACCGGTCTTATTACTGGCTTAGCGAGGTAAAGAAGTACGTCGGCCGGCCGGAAATCGAACCCCGGACCACAGGCGTGGTTGGCAAGCATTCTACCGATGCACGTTTGTGACTTAGCTTCCTTAACAGTTGCCTAGTCTGTGTAGAACAATTACATCGAGAGTGAGAGGATATACACACACGCCCGAATTTGCACATATACGCGCGTGTGCTGTGTACTCGTCAATATCCCTAATGTTTCTGAAAGCATATTGAAAAGAGTGAACAAACACACGGAATATACAAACACAACAAAGTACAAATGAAGCAAGGGAATCAATCGTCTCTGAAATATACATTAATTCTACATTTTTGACGAATATATACACTTGTTAAAAATAAAATATCCCTTTGAAACCGTGGTAGAGGTCATTTAAGTTCAAGGCCTGGAATAAAATTATTCCGTCCTAAAGAAAGATGTTTACAGCGAATTACCATACACAATAATGGAAGTAAACAAAACAGTTGAATTTAAGGACATCGACTAAATTCTATCATCACATCCATAAAACTTTCTTATGCAATCCGATTTATAATTATCGAAAAAGCTGAAAAACATGCCCTACCCCATAAGCCTCAACGATGCACAATTTTTGCAAATTAACTAGTAATTTGTATTTACACAGAGTTCGAGGAGGAGGGGAGATCGCATATTGTGATCTGAATAATTTTGGTTCTCTCTCTCTCAAAAAAAGAGAAAAACTATGATGAAATCCCACCACTCGAACTGTGTACATCGGAAATGCCAGTTTACGCCGTCTCTGGCGTAGACGTGATATCCAACTATCGACAAAAGGGCGTGTGCACTCCTCAACAGTCCGCTCCGTCCTCCTTTATGGCTGTGAGTGAGACCTGGCCATTGAGAGCGGAAGACATGAAAAGACTGGCTAGCGGTCTGTGATCATAGGTGTCTGCGTTCTATCTCCCGTGTGAAGTGGTATAATAAGGTGAGCAACATTGAGGTTAGGTCATCGCTCGAGTGCTAGGTAAGGAGGGGAAATCAATCGACGAGGCTGTGAAATTACATCGACTGAGATGGTTAGTACATGTGTTACGTATGCGTAGTCATAGCCTTCCTCGACTGGCGGGCAATGTTAGCTGGCTGGAAGAGAGCTGGCGGCGGTCAAATGAAAACATGGCTTCACCAGTCAATGAAATCTATGACAGTTAGTCTAAGCCACGTAGGAAGGTGTAGACTTCCTGACCAGTTGGGGTCCTCGGGACGGTAAAAACCAATGGTAGCTGGAAACAATTGGTGACATGGCTACCTCAAAATCGTTCTCAATGGCTGGTGCAGATGCATCCACTCCTTGTGACTTGTGATATCCAATGAAACTGTTTTGTTCTTCGTTATTACTATACCTTTGTCTCACACCCCTGTTTACTATCATTATTATACATTTCTCCTACTTTCTTCTCTTGCTTTACAGACATCGGAAATTAATTTTCAAATTCTGAAGAATTTAATGTGTTACTAGTTCACTCAAGTAGCTGGCCAAAAACTGGATTGTTTCAAATGTCATTCAACCCTCTGATCTGAGTCGAATCGGGAACATCACTGATGAGTTCAACCCCCAAACAAGCGAAATGGCCGTCTGAGGTCTAGATCACTCCCATCTGGCTAACTAGTGGTATACCACAACTCATCTCAATTAATCCGTCTGGATTCAACATAGAACTTGGCACCGAAGTGCAGAAGTTCCAGTTGCCACGTTCCAAATACCACACAAAGGTAAACAAGAAAATGAGTGAAGAGAATCAATAGAGTTTTCACAAGTATAAGAGTGAAACAGAATGAGTAATGGTAGAAAAGAATATGAAGGATTACAGAGACTGAATACATCTGCGTAGGCCATTGACAACGATTTTCAGCCATGTCACCTATTGTCTCCAGCCATTGATTCTTAGAGTCCCGAGGGCCTCAACCCGGAAGTCTGCATCTCCCTACCTGACTCAGTTTAAGTGTCCGTAGTATACAGTTTTACGGAGTCTAATGCACGAGTGATTCTGTCACATTCTGTATAGTCTACCAATTTACATGCATGTGGATGAACACACATATGAGGAGTAATCACTCTTCGCAAGTGAGCGTAGGAGGAAAAACAAATGAACCTTTTAACCTCGATAAACGCAGTGGCAGACTACTAATCTTGTCTATCTCAAGACAACTTTCAAGATTATATATCTACAAAAACCGTCGTCAGGGATGGATACTGAAATATGTCGAAGCGACAAACTATCGTAAACTTAAGTACCGGCCGATAACTGCTACCTTGCCGTGGTGGTCAGGCTGGAATGCCGCAGTGACCCAACAAGCTTAACTGGCTGGGACTCATGTCCCTGCAGGTCCTACCATGCCAGGAAGGTTTTTTGGATAGCGGTTAGACTAAAAGCAGTTACCATGGGGTACATGGGCTCCAGAATTCAATCGGATCAAATGGCGTACGAACCCATATGGGTCACCGGCAACCATGGGAACGCAGCACCTGACGCTGCTCCGCTGCCTTGCGGGTTAGACTCCAAGTCAAAGGCTCGGGGGGTGGTCCCTTAAGAAAACCATCTGTTTCGGTCTGGGCACCCGGGCAGTATCTCAGCCCTCACACAATGAATGAAATAAAGGAATAAAATATCAGTGGAACTTATCGCGCGCTCGTAACAATGCGTTCAAGCAATAATGATGTCTCAAGTAACACATCTCTTTCCAACCTTACTTTTATTTTTATACATAGTTTCCTGTATTTTACCTTTGCTCACCTTGACTTCTTAACCTTTGACAGCCTTTCGCCTTTGTCTGGATTCCTAACCTATCTGTGTCGTGTTGCAATTTCCTTCTTTCTTCCTTTACTGATGATAGTTAACGAATACTGTTTGAACTTGTTAAACATGACTGTTTTCCTTCCTGATGAAGTTCTTTATCCGTTTTCTACTTATATTTTTACTTTTAATCTATGTTGTTTTACCATTATTGTGTGGCACATCTTTCTTGGTGCCATAGTGTACCAAGTTTTTCTGCGTTTAAATATAATATATATATAATATAAACTTAAGTACCGACCATGTTAACTTAACTGCAAATCATCCCCTAGATAGATTCAAGCTGGAAAAAAGTGAACTCAGCTAGTAGAGACACATCTTTTGCATTCTAGACCTATCAGTTACACTTATGACATAATGCGTAGGGCTGTGGTAGTAAGCGAAGCAGGACTCGAAGTCAGAAGGCCTACCTACTGACTGAAGAAGGAATAAATATAATATATATATATATCATACAAGTCATCAGTAAAATTGTGCAATCGCATGTTTATATTTTGCAAAATACAAACAACAGCTAAACACACACACACACACTCCTCTCCGACTATACTCACACACACACACAAATGTGCATATATGTGTGTGCATGTATAGAAATATTCAACTCAATTTTTTCAACTGATTGACCAAAATTTTACTACATTTCAGAACTAGAATTCAAAAACAAAGAGAGAGAGAGAGAGTGAATGAGCAAAACAAAAAAACAGGGAGATCAGAAAACAATCGAATCGCCGGGGGGTGCGGGGGACAGACACCCACGCATCCATCCACCCACACATACGCTAACACAAAGGACAGTTTTTACAGACATTGAAACAAGATTCATTCATTTAAGAAACATTCATAAAGTGATATTGAGTAATAGTAATCAGTATTATTATTATTATTAGTAGTAGTAGCATTAGTAGTACACACTATTATGAACTTGTTAGGATTAATTCTGAAATTTTCATAAAACCTACTGAGATCATTCAGCCGTACTCACAGATTACGTCGTTACTGCTCTGTTTCATTGAACTGCTGGTAATAATAATAATGGATAAAAAATAATAAAGAAAGAAGAAAAAGTGTCAAAACTAGCATAAAACAGTTAGGGAAGGGGGGGAGGGGGCAGTGAAACCAGGCCTTCAAGAAAAAAGACACAGAAGAACACCTTAAGATTACATACATACACAAGTACTTATGCGCGCACGCACTCACACACACACACAAGTCATTGTAATCAAGATTTCACAAATACACTTGGGATAAACACAATACACTGAAGTAGTAGTAATTGAGGTGACGTTGAAGAGGGTGGGGGGGGTGCCAACAAGGAAACAAATTGTTGTTTTTTTGTATCGAAATGATGATAAAAAAATGTTGTGCTTTCTCTTCTTGGTTGTTAAAAAATAAAGAATTTATTTAATAAAAAGTAAAATGAAAAAAAAGAGAAAAGTTCAAATGTGTTTGTAGCACACCACAGTATAATGTTTCATTCACAACTTCCTTTTGTGTTGTACTTCACAATGAGTACAGAGAGAGAGAGCCTCAATGCAAAACAGCCAGTAGACGAGAGTCAGTCAATCGAGGTGTTCGGGCGACGACTATGTTGGTGGTGGTGATGATGGACCCCACAACAACAGCACAACTGCTTGCTTCACACATCACTTAGACAGAAAATAAAGGCTAATAATAAAATAAGGCAAACTATACGTATCGTTGAATATCCATATTTTAGTCAATCAGATGAGAACGGAGTGTGCAGGCGGAAGAGAGAGGGCGGGGGGGGGGGGTTGCAGAGAGGAGGATACACACACACACACACAAAAAGAGAACAGAAACAGAGTTATTGAAACGAAAGCTTTTTTGCATTAGTATTATAATATCATTAGTAATATTATTCATATGCATACAACAATTCAAATAGAATATATATAGAATAGAAATAGAATATCAACCGGAGAAATCATGATTTTGTGTATTTGGCTGTTGTTGTTCCTTGTTTTTATTTGTTGGTTGGTTGGTTGGTGGTGGTGGTGTTGTTGCGGTTGCTGTTTGGTTGGATGGATGGATGCATAGATAGATAGACAGAGATTGTGGAAAAGAAGAGAAACCTCACAAAATCAATTCAGCGGGACATAACAATTGATGATGGATTTTTATAAGAAGTAATCCGGTGTACGCCTTGATACATGCGGTTCACCACGACGTGGAGCAGGATCAAACTGCAAACTAAAACAAACAAAAAATGAAATTATTGATTAAAATTGAAGTCTCATTTGTGACATTTAGGAATGAGGAGGTCAAAACTCAGTTAATCGAAAGAGACCACTTATATGTGCTTTGGCAACTACTTCGCTACTATGGGGTGCCACCGACAATTATACATCTCATCCAACAGCTGTACGACAATGCTGCATGCCAAGTAATCCACAACGGGAAACTTACGGAATCCTTCGAAGTGAGGACAGGAGTAAGACAAGCTGGCTTCCTACTATCGCCAATGATTTTCCTGATTGCAGTAGACTGGATAATGAGACAAACAGCGGGCAATGAGGAAACAGGCATAAAATGGACCCTAACGAAAAAATTGGAGGATCTGGACTTCGTCTATGATATATGTCTGATTTCCCACAAACTGGAAGATATGCAAGCGAAAAGCAACAAGTTGGCAGAAGAAGCATCCAGAGAACATAGAGAAAACAGAGGTGATGAAAATTCCTGGACAAGAACAACAACAACAGACAACAATCAGCATAAATGGAAGGAACCTGAAAGAAACAACCTCTTTTACCTACCAACCTGGAAAGCATTGTTTCAACTACAGGCGGATGGAACTGACGAGGATGTCAAAGCAAGACAAGCTTTCACTACTCTCAAGTCTGTGTGGAGGTCAACAGCATGAAAAATAAGATTCGGACTTTCAACTCCAATGTGAGTGAAGTCAGTGCTACTATACGGATCAGAGACTTGGCCAGCGCGTCATAAAGAGCATCTCAAACAAACTACAGACCTTCATCAACAGTTGTCTTCGCTCAATACTCAAGATCAGATGGCCGGCCAGAAAAGATCAGCAACAGGGATCTCTGGGAGCGAACCAACACAGCAGGAACCGATTGTGAAAAAACTATGCAGGAAGAAATGGAGATGGATTGGCTGGCCATACTCTGAGGAAACCATCAAGTGACATCACACGACAGGCCATCGCTCGAGTGGAACCCGAAAGGGAAGCGGCGAGTTGGTCGTCAGTGCAAGGGTGACTTGGAGGAGGTCATGTGAAGAGGAGATGAAAACGTGTGGGCAGACTTGGAGCCAGGTGAAGACTCTAGCAGAGAACCGAACGCAATGGAGACGCACGGCTGAAGCCCTATGTTCCTCTAGGAATTAAAGGAAACAATAATAATAATCATATGTGCCGAGGCCTAGGAGCTACATTTATTGTGTATGACCCAATCATACTACACAATTACCCTGGCTGAAATAGACAGGCAGAATATAATTCAAACCGAGACCCAGTCGGTTGAAAATCTATGGTTAATGCAAATGAACATCATACTCTTCTTATAATGATGACGATATAGCTAAGATTCTCCAGTTACTGGGTCCAGGGTTCGAGTCCCAATCCAGTTACTTCATCTGAAACACGAAAAACCATTTCTGTGTAACTGGGTCTCCTCAATAAAATGCGATAATTCCATCTGCCGGTTTACAAGAGAAAAATAGCAAGCTAAGGAAGATTTGAAAAGTTATCACCTCATCTTTGTGAACGACTCTATACGATGTTGACACGAGTTTGCAGCTGCTAATTAATATCTACACTCGGTTATTCGTAGGACCTATTTTGTAGCCCGTCTTGTAATCATTGAAAAAGCCGAAAAGAAGCTCCACAACAAACCTCAAAAGTGCACAAGTGATTATGACACATCCCACACTATATACCAATTTACGTAATCACACTTAGCATGTGAGGGTGGGAGAACATATTGTGAAATGGTTAGAACAACAGGTGAACTTTGGAAAATCGATAGACTGCAGGTGAAGGACTACCAACTTCATCTATGGCCAAACATCTGATCGACATGAACCACAAAACTGATGTCAACACAGCTTTTAAGGTCATTCATAAAAATGGTCGAGGACGCTTGTTGAGATATGCTGAGGCTATAGTTATCCATAAATTTAAGCCCCCCCCACCCCACGCCCCCGTGTTCAGGCAATTTGTTATTACCTTTAACCTACCTACCTTGGTAATCCTTATCTGGTTAGATAACCAAATGGAGTATTAATTATCCTTATTAGTCTTAAATCCTTTTAGTCACTGTGTATTTTAACTGGCCTTTTTATGTTTCAATTAAATTGACTCGATCACATTGCGAAGATACATTACATTATTTTTCAGATAATCTCCGTCTTCTGACAACACTCTGCAGATATCTAAAGGAATTCAGTCAAAAGTTATACATTTCCCCTAATCGCTACTTAGTCTATACGAGTGGTTTCTGGCCAAACTTAATCCTATGCATATTCCAAAACCTTTGACATTGCTTTTCTCATCATGCCTCTGCTGTAAAGTAAAATTTGGGGGAAGGGGCGGGCTATTTTGCAGGAAACTCTTCCTTGATAAATAGTCCAACACGTCTTTTGTACTAGAGGTGGCTTTCATTTACAAATACGGGATGAGCTAAGGTTTCGTTCCCAACCATATAATCAACCCTGATGTAACTGTCAAAATAATTCAGGTGGTTCATGGTAATGAGCAACATCTCACATGAGTATCTAAGCTACTACTCCCCGTCTACTCAAGAATGACTGACTGGTTTTAACATAGAACTTTGCACGAATGTGCACTAGTTCGAGTTGCCACACTCCATGTAGCACAACAAAGTTATGGGAGAGAGTAAAAAGAGATTCAACAAATTAGACAAAACAGAAAAGTGAAGGATAAAGAATAGTAATATGGAAGAACAATAGAGTTTTATTGGATATGACCCATCACAAAGAATGAATGCATCTGCGCCAGCCATCACTGAGAACGATCCTCAGCCATATCACCAACTGTCTCCAGCCTTCATTGGTTCTTACCATCCTCAGAACCCTATCTAATCAGTCAAGAAGTACACACCTACCTGCATGGCTGGCTGGCTTAAACTAGCTGTCATGGGTTTCATTGACTGATGAAACCATGTTTTGGTTTGACCACCGCCACTAGCCCTTTTCCAATCTGATCGATGCTATGTGAGTCGGCTAAAATTTTCCATCGCGGTAGGCGATCGATGACTAGGCATGTCTTGATCATCTTTCTCAATCTACTGATTTCTCCTCCTCACCCAGCACCCGACCGATGCCTAACCTCAATATTGCTCAGCCTATTATACCACCACCTAACACAGGAGAAAGAAGCCAGACACGTATGATTAAAGAGAGTTAGACTTTTCACGTCTTCCACTTTCAATGGTCATGGCTCACAGTCAGCGACAGAAGAGGACGGAGAGAACTGCTGAGCAGTACACATGTCTTTTGAGTAGCAACTCCAAAGGTAATGTAAGTTGCCGAATGTCACGCAAGCCTTTTGTTTCCTAGCTGACATTCCATCAGTAACGAGTTCATTAGGGGTGATGCGTCTTCCTAAATACGTGAAGTGGTCAATACGCCCAACCATCTCACTCCTTATACTTAAACTAGGAGTCAGCGTAGTTCAGTCCTACAGTATGACCTTATCTGTGAGACAGGGACGAATCTTATGCCAAGCATACTAAGATTTCGGTTAAAATGTTCAGAAGACTCTCCATTTTGTCAGCGTGTCCAATTAAAAGGGCAGTACTATTCGCACACTTTAAATTCACAAGGCTTCTTTGGTGATAAATCAATTCTTAAGTCACTTAGGTGGATCAGGATCACCTCCATTAGTACATGCATGATGAAGCTAAACAAAAATGGAGACAGTGATGATCCCTGACAGACACCACTGGTTGCCTTTAATGCAGGTGACAATACTCAACAATCTTTTACCAAGGTTGTATGACTTCAAGTAGTGCCTTGATTAATGCAACAAATTTTCTCGGCAGTGCCTTCACAACTAAACATAGTTAACGCACTTCTCGACCGACTGAGTTAAATGATACCTTCAGGTCAAGAAATACGGCAAATATTGGTTTTGTAGGGAATTTGTTTGATTGTTTGGAGGATTTCATCATGAGCTGACATCAGTTAAAGAGCCATTGGGCTATTGGATCGGGCCTCAGTAGCTTAATGGTCTACGAGCTTGCTAGCCTTGCAACCAGGTCCTGGGTTCGAACCCTGGTGGATGACGCATACTGACGAAGAGTCAAAAACTGGGACGAAACAGCTGCCCAGTACTCCCAGTTGGTTTTCTAATGGTTCTCTAACCGGTTTCAGCTCATGATGAAATCCTCCAACCAAATACGGCAAGTGTTCGACGCTGATGAATACATATGGGTGAGTAGAGATGCGATCAATACATAATCGACTGGGTGAAAATTCTCTCTGATTTTCATGGGTTTAATTTCCTACAGTACTGCTTAGTTTGACTGATTGGATTCAACACATAGGACTTTGTACAGAAGTATAGAAGTCCAAGTCTCCACACTCGATGTAGCACACAAAGGAAGACAAAAAGAGATTTGAAAGAACAATAGTAAGTAGAAATAGGAAGAAGGAACAATAACATGGAAAAACGATAGGGTTTAGTCGATACGTGAGATTACAAAGAGTGAATGCATCTGTGCCACTAAGAACGATCTCGAGCCACTGACCTACATAGGACTATAAAACCTAAAATCGTAGATCCCATTAGTTCAGCTGATCTTCTTGTGATAATCACAGGAAAATTTCTTTATCCTTGTAAACCACGATAATCAATGACTGGCACCAGTCTAAGAGGACTGTCTAAGATTCCTACATCAACCCATGAAGTCAATGACTGTAACAGACTGTCTGGAAGGGGTTCTCCGAAAGCTAGAAGCACTATCAGTAATCTACTGAATAACTCATCAGCGCTGGTAAGTCCTGTGGGCTAAAATATCAGATATTATTACTTTTCTCATTTTAGGCTTGCGGCAGGGCAACCTTCTTATCCTTATTAAGAGTTAGCGGACCAACGTCTACACCCTACTTAGGGTTAGTAATGAATAGTGGAGAGGGCAGCTGTCAGACAGTTGTGGACCTCTGTGTTCTGATCAACTTTTCACAGTTGTTTGTTTTGAGAAATATTCGAGACCTATTTCTTTTGAATACTAACTAACTATAGGCAAATTATTTCACTAAGCCTAGTCAGTTGATGAGTTTTTTTCTAGGGCTTAGATGCGAAACATCGATCTGAGACTATTTGTGTCATTTTTGGTGCCAACATGATATCCGGCTAACTGCCGGTAGGCGAGCGAACTGAATGACAGTCTGTTCTTCTATTCCATAGAATCATATAACTATAGGGTTCTTCGATATTACTATTCTTTTTGCCTCATATCTTTGTTTACAGTCGCTGTTTTGCATTTCTTTTTACTTTCTTCTCTTGCTTTGTGTGCTAAGTGAAGTGTGGTGACGCGAACTACTGCACATCGCTGCAAATTTCCACGTTGTAACCAGCCAGTCATTCCATAGAACTACTAGATCATAATAGGAGATAGGGAGAAAAACTACAAACTTTCGACCAGACATGTTCTTATGTAGATTGGACACTAGGGAGTAACCAACACCACGTGTCTGGTCCTTGGTGTTGGTACCAAAAACGTTCTACCGGTCAAGTTTTGCAGTATGGTTACACCAAGCCAGGCAACTCATAGTCGCAGTGTATTTTGAACTGATGTCAGGTGGTTGGAGGCAATCCAACCACGTTGCTGCTCTTTCTCCCTCAATCTACTGTTTACTACACTCCTTTTGAATGCCTTTTTCGTCTCTTTTTTCTGCCTTTGTGTGCTTCATGGAATGTGTGACAACTGGAACTACTGCACTTTTGTGTGAAGTCCTATGCTGACACTCAGTCAATCAGCTGGAAGCTGTGGACTTAGGTTCTGCGCTTGTCAGCGCTCAGCGGTAAGGCGTATCTACAGTCTCGAAGAAATTGATATTCTCCAGAAGATTCGAAACCGAGTCACTCAATGCTGCTGACGACTACCAACAAGCATTAGGCCTAATTCCATGTCTTTCTACTAACTACCACCAACTATCTAACATATATGTCCTTGGTTGGCTGTCTTCATGAATGGAACTAGAAAGATTTTGAGACTGGGTGAGACGGAAAGTAAGTCAATCGATATGGTGTTGGGTTTTCATCGGTTGTAGTTTTGTTACATATCCGGAGACAACACCAACTGATTTTGTTCCATGCTTCATTATCACCTAAATATGAAATCGTATATGGAGACTTCACGTTCTGCAACAAAAAGCTTCTAATAAAACTCAGTCTTTACATAGTATGAATTATAAAAAAGTAAGCCGACAGACACATCAGATCCAAGAATCAGACCCATGACTTCCTGTTTTCATACATCGACTCCACCAGAAAGACAAAAGGCTAACTATTGATATAATTTCAAGAGATGTTCAAGTAGTTCTAATAATCAACAATGACAACTAATTGTGGTGAAGCAGAGGGAACTGTTCGATATAATAGTGATGATGAGCAAGAAGGTCAACTCAACTTCGAAGTTTCCGGTCGAGCTGCACCTCTCTGCTTAGATACATTTGAAAGATGTTCACAAAAATAACAAAGTAAGTAAATAACAAGTTATACTATGCATCATGCAGTTGAACTGTGGATTAATGGCGTAAGCACTCAAATTCCAAGCACTGGGTCACACAGGTTTGAACCCACAACTCCACTAACCGAGGTCTAGCGAGTCAGATAGTATCACTAACTATCCTCACAAAATAGGTGCAACCATATGCCAAGTGCATAGGAATGCAAGTAGTCGTTGAATGACAGAACATGACAAGCACTGTGTCTGTTATAAGACACTTACCTAGTGAGAATGACAAGTTTTGTAAAGCCAGTCCCAATATAGCGAGATGCGTTTCATCATTCCATATAATGATCTCAACGATTACGTAAGAAGGCCACTTTGTCATGTGACGAATGACTACATAAACAACATATTCTTATATCACAGCACATATATTCAATGCTGGTAAATAGTTCATTAGGGCTCAGGCACGTAATACCAGGCTGAGCCGTACTTGTGTGGGGGCTGGTGGAACCAGTCAGTTTCTCCGGTTGAAGTGAAGCGAAATTGGAGCCCGGAACGCACTAGTTGAAAGTCGAGAGTGTAAGCCAATGAGCCCTGTGTCTCCACAAAAGTTGGTAAAGCAAATCTCCAGTATTTAGGATCGCTTTTGAAAAATTATTGAGAGGTAAAAAGTTTAAAAGATGTGTTAATGTTAATTTGATGTCCTGTCTCCATAATATGTTTCGCAACAGAGGAGCTGTGTCTCCTGTTCTCACTATTAATGGCTTCTGAAGATTCTATTTGCTTCTTAATTACCACAGTTTCTGCCGTGTTCGTTACAAAAGAGCCTTAGTAAGGTGCCTCTTCAGTAGAATCCAACGAATATGCACTAAAGACACACTTGATGAAGACGAAAGAAAGTTGACACAAACTCTGGTTGATAACAATTATCCAAACAAGTTCATCAAGAGATATAACGTAGTCAGAAAACCAAGACCCACTCTACAACGCGCCCCTAAGAAAGACGTGTACATCAAGCTATGTTATATGGGGCATCATAGCAGCTTGATAACTAGACAAAGATTGAACGCTGCTGTTAAAAAGACTTTTTATACAGCTAATATCATAATAATTGAGAATGTGAAGCCAATATATCTATCTAAGCCCTTTAAACATGCGAAAAATGATGTCACATCCCACTGTATTTACCAATTTGAATGTACGTGTGGAAACACATACATAGGGAGGACTCATCGATCTCTGCAAGTAAGGGCTGGCTTCAGAAGCAAATAAAATCTTCAGAACCCATTAATGGTGAGAACAGGAAGACCTAGTTCCTCTATTGCGAAACATATTATAGAAACAGGACATCAAATTGACGTTAACACACAGCTATCTAGAAAAAATGTACCAATACTAGTCGTGAATTTAAAAGAGAAAAACTTACAAGTTGTACTTCAAGTTATCATCAAGCTCCATTAAAGCTGCTTGATTACCACATCGATAACAATAGTTTGGAGCACTGAAAATAGTGACAACATTTCGCTCATGACACCAATTAAAGCCTTCCATAACTAGCTGATGCGCTCGACTAACCAGTGTCAAATTATTGCTATGATTAAATGTCTCTGAAATATCTTGTCCAAAGGTATAACCAGCACCTCGTGGACTGATACCCCATCCACCTCGATCATCTGGATCAGACCATAACAGATCACACATTGGACCCTGAAAATAAAATTTTTAAAAAGGAAAGCATGAATGGAAATATTGACTCTGACGTATCAATTTTACTGTGAAAGACTTAAAGCACACTAATAGTTTTTAGTTTTTATTTTAACACCGTCGAAAGGCAGCAGTTTTCCAGCCTGTAACTACCTTTATACCCTGTAAATTATCAAAGTAATTAACAGGACAGTAGTTACTTTCAGCAAGATGCGTGTGACAAAATGTATCATGTAATGGACTTCCTAGGTACCAAATAAAAGTCGTCAGTCAAAATGAATTTTCTAGGTGATTAATTGTCAGTTGGATGTCGAATAGCTTTGATTTATCTATTTGTAGGTGTCTAGCTCACTGGTTTGGACACTTCACTTTGAAAGCATTCCACTCCACCTATTTCAGCTTGGACAAGTGCATAGTGTCATAAGGCCTCCCTCAAAATCAAATAGATGGTATTGATAGCGGTGGGTTAATCAACAAGTGTAATACAGTTGGTGGGGTGTTCAAATATTATTGATTGGTATCGTCTTTAAAACTAAAACAAGCTACGCATGTGTCACTTAGGACATAAAACAGGATTCTAGTCAAATCTAGAGTACATTTAGCCGGAATTACTCAGAATAGATCTTTCACGTATCAGACAAATTGCCACAATTATCGTATGGGGTGATGATATTACCCACTTGTCCAAACTGAAGCAGACAGAGAGAGGGACTCATTGGTTAACAAATGAGTATTTCAGCCAATGCACCACATCTCGACTTCGATAAAAATGTACTAAGCACGTCAATCCAACATTCACCCTGACTCCCAAGTTAGTTTCAGTAGGGCTGAATAAAACATTCGTTGCTAGATTCAATAAACTATCCGTGTAACACTTTAAGACAATAAGCACAAAGTTAACAGTGTTCAGAATCTCGTGTATATTTATGTGAGCTAGTCTGACCGGCATAGATCTCTAATTATCCGTTCTTACTACATAAAACTGCTTAGGAAGGTAGTACGCATCGAATGTAGTAACACTTAGCACCCACACAAACTGGTACTGTTCTGTATTTTCCCCAGTGTCATCTTATTTCATTGAACACTCATTGAGGTCTAAAGCAAATGAGCATACAGAAGAAAAAAATAAAACTTTGATGGTTGATGCAGGTTTATAACTTTACTGGCTATTTACCCAACACTGGGGTCACAACTGGTTTCACAATAAAGAAAACATATGATCGACGGCATTACTTTTGGAACACGTTTGTTTCTACAGCAACACTGGCACTAATAAAACAACACATGCGGGAGAAATATAAGACGCACTATTAGCGTTGGTATTATTTGCTGTACTTTGGGATGGAGTTTTCTAAATACGCACATCTGTGAACTTGCTTATCTCAACGTCTCAAGCAAAAAGTAGCTATTTTGTGCTTCACTAGTTCGTGGAATCTTAAAAGATACTTCCAGAAGACGCATGGTTTAGAAGGTCATGTGACCTAATTCACGAGTTTAGTCACACAGAAATAAGCCATTTCGTTTCCCAAGATTCTTAAAGGACAGGCTTCAAGAATGCAATGAGGGAGTATATGCTTACAACATAAAACTCATCCGATGTAAGGCATTCACAAATTGTTGAGGTGATTACAAACAAACCTTAGCAATCACGTGTGTGCATTCTCTGGTGACATATCTACTGAGAAGAATTAATACTGTGGGTGAATCTAAAATAATGGTAGGATTATATGTATATTTCAACAACAATAAATGCATCTGAGTGTCTGAATTGGCCACATAAATCGGGGATGCAGCTCTATGGAAACCCTAGACCTGGCCACCATCACAGAAAGAAAACCCCTAATTCTTTTTGAACAGTGTTGTACTGACAATTTGCATCAACACTGGCAAATATACACTCTATATCCACTGGTTTTCGTAAGGACTTATTGTAAATGACACAGTTTTAAGCCCAGAATTCTACCTGTCCAGTAAAGAACGATACGCGTGTAGTACGACTCAAGTTGACAATACGTACAAATAAATATTACGTGAAAAAACAAAGTGACGTGTTATTAGCCAGCGTCATAGATGAAAATGCACTCGTCATTGACATGCAATGTCGACTGAATAAGGGCACGGACCTCTACAGTTTCTGGCAAACAAGACTGCTAAAGACGAATGAAAGCCTAACAGCTGCTAGCAATACTGATAAATATCACTTATCTAACATAATTGATGAAGAATTCGCTTAGTAACTGTTGGATATTATGACAAGTATTCAACTGACAAATGAGATATATGAACTTACCTCATGAGGAACTTCCTGAATTCTATCCAAAGCTCTGATGTGGTCAAGTGTATCTATTGACGGTGACAAACCACCATGAAGACAAAATATCTGAGAATTAGAAATTTAACATCATCTTACTGAATTATCAACAAGAGCGGTGAGAGGGAGATAGTCGAACAGATCAGTAAAATACTTCCACACATTAGCGTTACCATATTTACGTAGACATTCATCGTAAAATCCGTAAACTTGCGTGATTTGACGACTTTCATGGTTACCACGTAGAATTGTTATTCTGTCTTTAAACCTCACCTGCAAAGATGAGTTATTCATAAACTTTAGTACCTTCATAGCAACGAGTAAGGTGACAGTTTCAACGGAATAATAACCACGATCTACATAGTCACCCATGAATAAGTAGTTGGTATTTGGTGATTTTCCACCAATACGAAATAGCTCCATCATGTCATGAAACTGTCCATGCACATCACCGCACACAGTTACCGGACTTCTGACATTTTGTACGTTCGACTCTTTAGTGAGAATATCTTTTGCCTAGGAAAAATAGACTCACAGCAAAATATCTCACTTTCTCACACAGAGACTTAACTTGGGCCTCTGTCAGCTGATTACACTCATAAAGCTGTTCTATCCATTGGTCAAGCTCTTTAGCTTCAGTGCGGAAATCGCCCGTCATCGTCACCTTATTTCATGAAAAATATTAACCGACCGCTGCTTACAAGTGTTTCAAACAAGGTTAGTCCAATATCCTATGTTTTTTTCCCGCGGGCAATCACGCACCAGTTGATCTTTTCTTGTTCCATTCTTGGTAATAATAACATATTTTAAAAGGTTTTTCTGCCATTATTGTGGCTCATGTTGTCAGCGGTCTGTTTAAATCATTAAGACACCTGATATACTGTAATGAAAACAAAACTCATATTACAAAAACTGATCAAAGTCTTATTTTCTATACTATTACTTTTTTATTTTATTTTGGTTACAGCTTCATGCTACACCGTATTTTCAGTACAAGTATGGAATTTTCAGCATGGATATCGGTAGCCCAAATTTTGCAGGCCGACCATAGATATCGGGTGTGCGTCGGCAGGGGATCGGACCTCGGACCATGTGCATGGTCGGCTAGAGTCCTAACCACTGTGCCGCCGACGCAAAGGTGGACACTCGGGAGTCAATTATCTGGATCAGGAGATACAACAATTACAGGATCTAAACATCAACGAAGGCCTTTAAGAATGTTAGACTCCCGCACCTTTTAAAAGTTGATTTTCGTGGAATGATCGTTCTCTACACAACTCGTGTTCTGTTTTCATTACTTGTGTGCATGCTGCTTTGCTTGTTGCAAATTGGTTTCGGAGGTGTTCTAAATTCGGTCTAAACATGAAATCGGACTCATACGAAACTCCTGCAATATTCTCCTCCCAGAAAGCCAGCACACATTCTTCATCCACAAAACACACTCTTCCTGTGCGAGGGCCTCCTCCCCTTGACGTCAACAGTGACTAAGAGTTGTGGAAATTCCACATGCAATTTGTCCTCCCAGGTCTATCCCCACAAGCTTAGTGCAACCAGATCATGTTAGCATTGAGTGATGCTGCCTCACGTCGTGCAATTGCTGGGGAATTCCCCCCATCCAAGAGGCTCATAGATGACTGGCGCAGACTAGATGAATGCTTCGCAAAACCTTCCAGTTCCACCGCACACATGCACTCCTTCCTGAACCGTCATCAAGAACCGGGAAAGACTGTTGCTGACTACCTCCATCAACTTCGTGAGATTGAGCCCTACGCCTTTCCAACCCTCTCTAATGGGAGTCGCGACGAGGCTATTCCTACCCGTTTCGCACAAGGCCCCCAATCTTACGAGCTTAAGTGCAAACTATCACTCAACCCAGTGAAATTCATCTCAGAGGCTCTCGAGGTAGTTAAACGTTTCGAGAGTATTGAACATATCCTTTCGCCAACTGACAGTACGTACTATTACACCTTAGGAACCACTGACAAAAGAACACCCGTCCCATAGACCCGACAACGCCACCTTAATGCCCCACTACCAGTCCAGTCTGAGACGCTATCTTCAACCCCCTTCGAAATCAAACGGTGAACCCAAGAGATATTATTAGTGTCGTCGATTTGGTCGCAGAGCATGGAGATATGAACACAATAAAAAACTTCTGGTGAGCCACTTCTCAGTGTACCCCTATTCAGTCAATGTTTGAAATCCCCGCTTATTCTTGAGGGTTAAATTCATGATGTGGACATGGCTTTTCTTTGTGACACCGGGGCGTCGTGCTCTATTGTCCGCGCAGGGTCCGCTCAGAGAATGGGGGCCAACCCTAAACCTCTCACCAGTTGGCTGCAGTTAATTACTGCCAACTGAGCCCTTATTTGGGTAACTGACTGTGTTACCCCTCCTTACAAGGGTTCACCTGCACTCATTCTTTCGTTATGTGTGGTGCGGCACGATGGGACGTCATACTGGGTGTTGATTTCTTAACACGCTGTCACTGACCTAGGTCGTTTTCGAACTCGGTTGGGGGCACATAACCCCCAATTAGTCGGCCTATTATTCCCAATCAGTGTGCTAATGCCCGTACTCTACTTCAGGTGACTACGGTGGACATCACTGCCAACCATCACCCCAACCCAAAAGACCATACTGAAACTCTGGCCTTGCTACAAGAGTATAGCGACATGTTTGATGATGGTCAAGTTATGGGATGTGCTAATGTTGTCCAACGCAAGATCAAGACAGGGGATAACTTGCCATTTTTGATGCCACCTCGGCAGGCGCCCATTTATTATCAACATTAATTGAACACAATCATGGCATAAATGTTACAAAAGAAATTCATTAAACCGTCTACTTCACCATGGTCATTCCCTATCGGCCTTGTGAAGAAGAAAGGCGAATCCCTCCGTCTCTTCGTAGACTATCGTCGTCTAAATGCAATCACGCAACGAGATTCTTATCCCTCACCTCGCATAGACGCTACACTAGATGCTTTAGGTGAGGCACAGTGGTTCTCCACTTTAGACTGGCTATTAGCAAGTTGAAATTCGTCCTGAAGATCGACCGAAAACTGCCCTTGTCCTGCCTACGAGTTGTATGAAATCGAAACCGTGCCATCTGGCCTGTCTAATGCCCCCGCTGCGTTTCAGTAGCACATGCAGACAGTGACTGCAGGGTTAGTCCATAAACAATGCCTCACTTACCTGGATTACACCGTGTTCGGACAGTCCCTCGAAGAATACCGTGCCAACCTCTGGGGCGTATTCCAACGTTTACACGGGAGTAATCTTAGAGTGAAAGCCTCGAAATGTCATTTCCTGCAGAAATCTGTTGCCTTCCTTGGTCATGAGATTACTCCACAAGGAGTTAGCACGGACAGAAGCGAAGAACAATCGATCCCCCAAACATTGGCCACAGACTACATTTAGCAAGCCAAATAAGCCAACAGAACCCATTCATATTTCTTATGTGTCTAGTTTGGAGCATGTGCCGATGTCTGGCAACAAATTACCGAATACTCACATCGGTTGTACTTTCGGGCAGGATTTTCACCAGCATCAGTTAACAGAAACATCTGACATCATGCATATAGCACGCATGATATCGGATCATTTCCTTGCTGGCATAGCGAACAGTCTATAGCTAGGGCAAGGCATATTTCCCGGGAGATAGCTGACACAATGTCGACACCAAACGCGGATACTAATATCTCTAAAATATTAATATCTGATTATCACGCTGATGTCTCTCACTGCATACCATATCCAAACGAAAGACCATCCCTGACTAACACCTCACAAACCTACCTGTGTAACACCGTGTGGTTGATCAAAATAAAATCTTATCCATAATGGAGTTACACTCTACCACAGTGCCCAAGTTTTATACTTATATCGATAAAACCTACCTGAAGTCTTCCCATGATCCAAAGATATTGGTAAATGAGTCTAAAAACATGTATATAGAGGATAATCACGGATTATTTTATCAAGATGTTGTCCGCTCACTGAAACCACGTAGCCAGTGTTTATCTATTATCCTGATATATACTAGATTAGTTCTAAACAAACACTTAACACTAAGTGCATTAGCTTCTATATGCAGACGCCACTGATTATGATCACTGAAGCCTGGTGCACAAGTGAAATCCCTAATGACAGCCTAAGGATTAATAAATAAAACCTATTTCGAGGGGACCCTCTTCGTCCAGTAGGGAATATGGTAATATGCTCAGCAATATTTTTAGTGTTACAGCGAATCTTCCCCACAGTTATAAAATTATCGGAGGTGATTTCAACATGCCAGAAGTATCATGGTCTTCACTCCGAGGACCCCAAAGGTATGATAATCTCCTGAATTCCATCGTCACAGGAGGGTGGACACAACACATAAATTCACCCACTAGATCCGCAAATATCCTAGACCTTATTTTCACGAACAACATAACACCATCTACAGTACATGTGGGACATGAATTTCCAGGTAGTGACCATAAAATAATAATATGTTCTTTTAAGATCTTTCCTGAAACAAAACGCAGAGATGAGGCTGACCAGACACCTATGCGATTGTACACACATGCTGACTGCGACTTGTATCAGCACCTAATTAGACGTTCTAATTGGGACTCGTAATTTTCGAACGAGTCCTTAGAGGCAATTCTTAACAACTTTTATCAGAATATTAACTCAATTCATGAGAAGATTCTTAGCTTCAGATTCCCCAAAGCGATTATTTTCCGACATCACTGAGGAGAAGTCTACGAAAGCACTCAATAAAATACTACAGATATCATGACTTATCATCATTAATTGCTATTATGTCCCTTCTCAGTAGAACTGAATGGTTGAGAAAAATAGGCCTCAGAAACAAAGAAGTGTGAGCCATTCAGGCACCACGTAACTCAGGAGAAATAGCCAAACTTTTCAAAAGTAGGTTGACGAACTCCAAAACAGCTTGTCCTAAAATATTATAGATAGACGGGATCGATTACGAAAATACTGAAGTGATATGTGAACTGTTTAGTAAGCACTTCGCCAGATTATACACCTTAGAGAACGATGAGGTCGGGGATTTCCCACGTAAAACAGACGAATGTTTAAGTGACATACTTTTCACCACACAAGAGATCGATAAAGCTGTCGCAAATCTTAAGCTTAGTAACACTATTGGTCCAGATGGTATATCTTCCATTGTGCTAAGAAACGGTGATATACTAAAGTTATACACGATTTCACTAAGCGACAGGACATACCCTACCTGCTGAAAGAAGTCTCATATTGTACCTATCCATAAATGCGGGACTATAGCTGATATCAACAACTACGGTCCCATCAACATCACGTCTGTAGTTTCACGTGTGATGGAAAAGATAGTAAAGACTCAAATCATTCGGTACTTGTTGTCAAATGACCTACTATCCCCATCCCAATACGGTTTTTTAAGTAGAAGGTCGTGCACTACTTGCCACTTAGATTATTTTGACTACATTACACAATGCATTGATAATGGGCGTTCGGTAACAACATTATTTCTCGACGTTAGCAGGGCCTTCGATAAAGTCCCACATATCAGACTCCTAACAAAACTCCAATCCTTCGGTATAACCAGAAAACTTCTCAAAGGGATAAATTCTTTTCTCACAGAAAGAGAGCAATTAGTCAA